CTAGAATATATTCGAATGTGTAGGAGATATTTCCTACTTACACATACAATTTTATTTCTTATACTATTTTCCCAAATTAAGAACTCATATAGAATTTGTAGTTTTTTAAAAGAACAATATAATAAGTTTCTGATTTTTGTTTTGAAAGCTGTAACTTTGGAGGCAATTCGGAAAATAATTAGATGTGCTAGGGAAAATTTTAGTTCAAAATTGAATTCATTATGTTTTCAAAAAAAAAAACGTTTAAATCGAGGATACTCTAATTTTCATTGCGACTAGGTTAGGTTCGACTGGTCACTAAAAACTTTTTTTCTACTCTGCATTCTAAATTATAATTAGTTTTAGAAAAAGTTAATGACATTATTGTTTTCAATCAAACTTGCTGATAGATTACGTAAAATAAATTAGGATTATGTTTTTTTAAATGGGAGCATGAGTTTTTAGTTCTAAAATATGTAGACAAAAATTTCAAAAAGAATTAAGCGTTTGAATTTTTAATTTCCATCAACCTGTTTGCTATGACTTAGTAAAGATTTAAATTTAAGATCAGTATTCGTTCGAGATTTACAACACTAGCATTCTCATTAAGTAATACATATTAATATTAAATAATAATATTGACACCCATCGATAACACTGACATCTGTGACAGTATTTGAAAATGTATACAAAAACAGCTTGTTATCATTATCTCAAAACATTTCATTGTGTCTGGTTATCGGTGTATTCGTCTATCGGACAATGCGAGCATAAATATTCACTTTATGGGCTACTGAATTTTGGAAAACCATAGTAAATGAGAATTATATGGGGAAATGTAATATCTTTGTAAAGTTATAACAAATAAACAGATTGATGAAAATCAAAAATTCGAACTACTAATCTCTACTAATATTGTATAAAAAAATAAAGGCCAATACAGATTTCAAATATTTAAAAAAATTCATTTCAAAATACTTTTCACCATTTCGAAGATTGTTTTTTTTTTATATTTTATAAATATAAATAAACATGAACAATATCCGATTAGTAATAATTAGTTATAATACTATGTATTATAATTACATACACATATATATAATATGTAGCAAACTTGGGCTGGAAACTTCTGTAAAGTTGTATGATAAAGGTTTATTTCTGAAAAAAATTTAATTTAATTTAAGAAACATGTACCTGTCGCTATTAATATAGCTCATATTATATTTATAATAATGACTAAGTACCCTAATAAAAATTATTAAACAAATAAATGCAATTGTATATATTAACACGAGGTCAATTGAAAACAATGATGCGAATGGAAATTATTCTTAATTTTGATATTCATATATTAAAATAAAATAAACGAATAGGGTTTTCTAGTTGTTTGTGATTTTCAAGGTGTATATCATATAATTTGTAAGTCAAATAAAATAAAATTGTAAATGTAGTACGATATTAGTTTAGAAAAATAACTTTATGGGCTACTGAATTTTGATAAACCGCAGTAAATGAGAATTATAAGGGGAAATGTAATATCTTTGTAAAGTTATATCAAATGAACAGATTGATGAAAATCAAAAATTCGAACTACATTTTTGAAAACAATTTTGGCTACATATATTTTAAAGAATTAAAAACATGTTTCCATTTGAAAAACGAGTTTTAAACATATTTTACGTATAAGGGATGAAGATAAAAATGTTTAAAGTAATGAAAACTCAAGTAAAATATGTACCTATACGTATGGAAATTTTTTTTTTTTTCAAAATATTTATATTTCCAAAAAAGAGTATATTACATTAGATGAATCATTCTGTATATTCTACATTTCATAAGATACTGTAATTGGTAGGTATATATAATATATAAATATAACAAACTCGTAGATTATTATGCATTTAGATTAAGTAGATTCAGCAATGAATAGATTTGCGTAACATTGGTGCTTTTAGGAATCGTGTGTTGTTTAGTGCAAACGCATTACGGAAAAGAATAATAACAATGAAAATTATTTAAAAGAATAATCATCCATTTGTGTTCTGCGTAAGCAGCATGATGATGGTAAATTCTACCTTAAACAGTCGAAAGAGGTGTATTTGAACACCTTAACTTATGAAAACTATATTAGTAAATTTGATGAATAAATACATTACAATGAATATGTTATACACATGACTTGAAATGACAGAGGAGGGAAATCATTATTATTTATCACCAATAACCACAGCGCCAAATAAACGCAAAACAAGTGTTTCACAAATAATTAAATTAGATAGTTTTATAGCATTTTTTGGTAACTACAAAAATAACGTAATGTTTCTTTAAAGAAAAAACAACCATAAAAAATGTCTAAAAACTAAATTTCTTTAGAATATAGACCATTCTGTATTATATACGTAATTAAAGTATGCTATAATAATTACTGAAAAGAAAACATGTGAAAATTATTATCTAAAGAAACTTAAAAGTAATTAAACAGCACTCATTTCTATTTTTGAATTTTTTTTTTATAGTCTGTTTTTTTTCTATTGTTTATGCGGTCTATTGTTTTAAATATTGTGGAAATAATAGTTATAATATATTGTATTGTATTAACGTGGGTATTCTAAATTCTATGGTGAGTTTATTTTATTAATTTATTTATTTATAATTCTGACCTTTTATTATTATATATATATATATATAAACACTTTATTGTAAAAAAAAAATACAATAAAGCGAGTTGACCAATGACGTAACGTACTAATTAGTAAATTTACATACTGAACACAAATAAATTAAAATTAGATAAAACAAAAAATTTCAAAAGTAACTTATTTAAAAAAAAGCAATAAGAATAATAAACTAAAAAAGTAAATAAAGAGGAAATATTTTATACCTACAACTTTTCCTGATTATTGCATAGATGGCAAATCTAACCGTGCCACAAGCAATATATTTCAAGCTCTTGAGTATTACAGGACAAATTACTATAGTACGGCATACTTTTACGCAAGAAACACATTGCTTCAAACCGATTATCATCAACGTTTTGTTTTCAAACTGATGTGTTTACGTCGAACCAATCAATACCTTAGTGCGCATATTATAATAATTATAACATATTTTTTTGTTTGAACCAAACTGTATTGTCGGGCGATCGTTTTGTTTTAACCTACTTCTAAGCTACAGTCGTAGATATACAGCGCAGTAGGTATAGTTTCTTATAAAAAAAAGGCTCTACTACCAAACTTTTACCAGATCTTCTATATACATATAAGTAAGGTCTGTACAAATTTCAGAATTTATAATTAAAGCCCTAAATAGTTAAAGACTCTTAAATATAGCACTTTTTAGTAAAATGCCAAACTTTGAAGTTCCGTATACATCATAAAAAGAAAATTGTCCAAAAAAATTATGAACCAAAAGAGTGGTTAGATGTGAAGAATAACATTTTTTTTTTGAGATTTTCAATTTTTAGTTACTTTAAAGTTTGAAAAAAAAAATTGTTTAAGGATATAATGAAAAAAAAAACATTTAAATTACAATTGTTCAATTTTATTTCAATGTCTTAATTAGTCTTTAAGTAACGTAGTCGTGAACTTAGGTGTTTTTACAATAAGTTTACGAAATATAGCAACTATTTGCATAGGATATATAAGTTTGAGGCATTTAGAATATCCACTAGCATACACAACAGGGGAATTGGCATGGAATGATCATCTAAAAGTTTTAGTAATTTTATTGGCTAAAAACAAAATCTACTCCTTTAGGCCCTTTACCCGTTAGTACGAAAAAAACTAAAATAAATATTTTTTATTGTCTACATTTACCTTTAATATACATTTGATATGAATCAATTACTAGGCATTGTTTTATCAAACGCTACCCTCATACCTAAAACTCATTAAAAAATGTTCATGCTTAGCACATGTGTTAACGTACGATGAGTTTACCCATGGGCGGAAATTTGGTGGGGGGGGGGGAGCTTGGTATACTAAAAACCTTAAAACTTAAAATTAGTGCTTTTCAAGATACTTACATTTATTATTTAGTGAGAGATTTGTTGAAATAAAAATAAATGTAGCACAAATTTTAAGTTTTAGGTTTTCTAAAGGCTTTTAGAATTTTTATTTCTACTAATTTAATATTTATGAACATACACGCTATAGAATACATCAACAAATCTTTGTTTGGTGAAATGCCTACTACAAAATGTATAGTAGATTATTTACTTGAATAGTTACATAAAAAATAATAAGACTACAGAGTTGGACGTGGTAATACATTTGAAAGCGATTTCATCACTAGAAAGGTGAGCGCTTTATACTCGTATACAAAACAATTTTCGAGAGGGATTTTAATAGTATAAGATAAATTTGAGAAAAATCGCCGGTGAGCTAGGGCGTTTTATTACAATCATGAGTGTATTAATACACCCAATGTGTTACTATACACAATCTATCAACTTGACCTACAATCGATAAAGCACGATTCACGAGTACACCATAACGAATACACTGTATGATAGATTGAATAACCGAGTGGAATGTGTTTTCGGTCTTTAATAGTGAATTTAATACTAGTGTTGGGTGTCATATTGCATGTATCGAGCCATTATGTCGTTGAAAAAATAATCGGCCGTGTGTGCAACTCAGATATTACTTTTATTGTACACGTTATGGCTCTAGTATTGCGTTATTCAATGGTGTCGATGTGTCTATCTTTGTTCTCCGCCAGTTTGTCTGTAAGTGATTCTCTCGGGAATAGAATCTAAAGACGATGCAAAGCAAATAACTCGAAACGGTCAGTATGATTACTTTAACTTACAAATGAATAAAAACGCCAACAGTGATCTATCGAAAAAAAAAGAAACTTATAGGCTTATTTAATTAAGCGCGTGACTGTAGCATTAAAATATTTGCCTTTTATAGACAGAGAAGGTAAAGAAGCAGCCTTAAAGAAAGAGATAGAAAGTGCAATGAAACAAGCAGCTAAAATAAATGTAATGCACTTGTTGACACTGAGCCGGAAAATAAAACACACAAATAGTGTCGTTAAACACAACTCAAAAGTAAATAAAATTGAATTAACTCAGTTGTGTAAAATCGTTCCACTGACTAAAGATAGGAAAAATTAAGCTTAATAGGTTTCACGAAGCATTGGAAACTATAAATTGTTACCTCGTAAATGACGAGATTATAAGTATAATCAAGAAGCGTGTAAAGATAAAAATATCAAGCAAAAACTTAATGGAAAAAATAAAATACAAATTACCAAAATTAAAAAAAAAAAAAATAATGAACACAATTTCAATTATAAATGAAATGAAGTCATAGTTGAGATGCAATTTTCAGATTTTCTTACATAATTATAACTATACATTTTCTTGTATTATTTGTATTCATGTAGTAATCATTAAAACCTTAAACACTTGAGTACTATTAACATTATTTCAAAGACTAAAGAAATACACGTCGTATTAACCTGTTTTACTTTACAAGGTAATTAAAGTCAAATTCAACTATCACAAAATTCAGTCGTTTACTAATAAATATCGAGCCAGCATTTACTAATATTGCATAAAAAAATAAAAGCCAATTCAAATATTAAAAAAAATACATTTCAAAATACTTTTCACCGTAGTCTAGGATTATTTTTTTTAATATTTTATAAATATAAATAAACATGAACAATATCCGATTAGTAATAATTAGTTATAATACTATGTATTATAATTACATATACACACACACACATATGAAGGGCTGCGGGGAAAAAAGATCAATGTCAATTTTTTTTGAAAATGAGATTTTGGTATCAAATTATTTGCATTGATGTATTGTATCTTTTATGCGCTCGAACCAGGAGAAAAAACAAATAAGACGAGAGTAACGACCGCCGGAAGTTTAGGCATACAGGCAAAATGTATTACGTTTTGAAATTTTCTCAGAATGTTAAAAAATTGACATTGATCATTTTTCCCCGCAGCCCTTCATTTATATATATGAAGACATTATTTCAATGAAGTGCAACTTAGAGACGTCGAATATGAGTTAGTCATTTTAGCAAACTTGGGCTGGAAACTTCTGTAAAGTTGTATGACAAAGGTTTATTTCTGAAAATAATTTAATTTAATTTAAGAAACATGTACCTGTCGCCATTAATATAGCTCATATTATATTTATAATAATGACTAAGTACCCTAATTAAAATTATTAAACAAATAAATGCAATTGTATATATTAACACGAGGTCAATTGAAAACAATGATGCGAATGGAAATTATTCTTAATTTTGATATTCATATATTAAAATAAAATAAACGAATAGGGTTTTCTAGTTGTTTGTTATTTTCAAGGTGTATATCATATAATTTGTAAGTCAAATAAAATAAAATTGTAAATGTAGTACGATATTAGTTTAGAATAATAAAGTAAAATGATCAGTAAAAATTAATATATGTACATGCAATAAATAAATTTATAAGGTATTTTGGTTCATATTCGATAAAAGATGTGCTTTCAGTTTCATTTTTTTTTTACATTATATACCAATATTAATAAATACACACAACACCTACCTTGTGAAAAACTGTTTTAACTTTACATACTCTAAATCGTTTAAAATGTATTTGTTGATAATAACAGTCAAAAATTGGTTTTAAGGAAGTTTTTATTTTGAAAAGGAAAATCGTTTATATAATATTTATGTTACGTCTTATATGTTTATTATGTTAATACATGCTCTAGTAGATATAATTAAATGTAGCTCAATGAAACATAAATAAATATATGTATATATTGATTACAATGCATAGAAATGAGTAAGAAGATAATTTGTATACTCCCATCCCAATTAGCTGATAAGTGTTTTTCTTTCTATTTATTTCTAATTATTTACATTTGGTTATAATTGGCACAAACTGACAAATCAACAAGACAAATTTAATTTTACATTTTTACAAATATACTTATAGTATTTTAACCGTTTAAAATAGACTGTCTCTATCAATTAACAAGTAATGCGTATTACGCCATAACATAGTTTTTCAGCAGCTAAAGGTATACCCAAAGTTTTTTAACCACATTATCATGTACTGCCAGACCGAGTGTTTGTAACAATGACTCATATTATGGTTCATTCATCGAGTAGAATAATTATTCGTTGGTGGACGATGCACGCAACAGGTTTTAAGGTATTTTTTGTTTTTGCCATTTGCATTTTAAATACTGCTGCTGCTAGTAGGACAGGACAAGATCACACAGCCTACGCACATAGTTAACCCTGGAGCACGTGTTCCGGATTATAATAATATTATTACAATGGCCTTGTTTTGACGTCAATGAACCACGCAATTGAGTAAAATACCCAAACTATGAAAGTTAATAAATAAGTAAATGAAGTAAGCACGACGCGACTAATGACACACTGCGAATAGGTTCATGCGTCAGTGTTCAGAAATATTGAAAATAATAATATTCAAGTTTATGTTTCGTTGGCTATTTATAATTATAATTAATACGAACAAACCGAGTAGTTTGTCAAATGATTAATAATAATCTTTAGACTGGTTCACATGAAGAGCGGTTAACGCGCGTTTACAACTACATATAATGCAGTTGCTATTAAGTGTACATATGACTAACGCACGAAGTCATATGTACATATGTCATATGTACTTATATCACCCTTATATCGAAGGTGATGAGCGATCAGTCAAAAGATAATCGCAACTTATTGGATGTATACCATGTATAAACGTCGTCTTATTTACAACAGACCCCACACCTAAGCTTTCGATTATATAAAAGGATAGAAAAATTATATATTTGGAAAATGATTCAAGTGGGGAATTGTATTTACATTATTTACACAACATGTGGACACTTCCACTCGAGTAGCTTGACTTGTCTGCCGTGTTTGGCAAACAAGTCAAACTAGTCAAGTGCGAGTATTTGCAAGTTGTGTAAACAGTGTAAATAATTTGTATTAATTATTTAACTAGATTTAAAACGTATCTGTACTCTTGCCTCAATGGGCGTCATTATTATAATAAATAATATATTTATTTATTTCTGACTTTATCTATCCTTGTTATCCCACAAATAGACCTCAACTACATACTTGAAGTTATAATTACTGCTAGAAAAAGAAATTTATAATTGTTTGTCTGTAAATTTCTTGTACACATTTTGCGCTTATCCAGTTTATTAAAATATATTTTAATAAATCATAGGACACTACAACGCACATTATTATAGCACATCAATACAATATTATGTTATACACAATTAGTTTTAGAACAGCTGTGTTTTCGAACAATGAAACTGTATCGCACCAACTCGTTAAGATATACACAATCATTATACTTATTATACTTAGGATTTTGGCACGTTTTGACGTATTGTAGAACTGAAAGATAGTTACTGATAGTTAACTATCTTTAATAGGAACTAGATGACTTCCTTCATTATACAAATGTGCTCATCAGACCTTCTTCGGTAATGATAATAATTGATAAAAACAAATCTATTTTTATAGCTATTATTATATCAAAACATTACTCTTTTAACACACTGAGAAATAAAAACAACTTTTTAGACATTATCATCATTTTGTCGTTACGCCAATAGATTGTTTATCTAATGATGTTTAATCGGATAATTACATTAGAGATTGCTTACGGCATTGAACTGTTTAGCTGATTATTGTTGTCTTTGAACGATTTATTTTACTTAAAGCTTTGACCCATTTTATAAAAACAGGTGATATTTTTATTTATTTAGATCGTATTAGTACCTATAAATGTAATGCTAATGTATTGTACACAGTTATTTTATTCCTCGGTTAATACTGATTTTTATCATTATTTCAACTAATTGTATTCACTAATCTAAAAGCTATGACCGAACTTTCAAATTCTATAAAGACATTAGCTGTACAATATACCGGGTAATCCAATTAACGTAAGACACTTTTTCTCGAAAAAAAATTACAAATTTGTTACGATATCATCAACTAATAAATATTTACTTTATAATATTTTCTATAGAGCTATTAAATTATGAAAAATTATGAAATGGTAATGTACAGATTGATTCATTAAGGATAAGACACTCAATATTTTAAAAATAATTGCAATTTTGTAGTGTTTCTTTTTGAAAATATTTTTGTTTATATTATTTACAATATTATAAAATTATTAAATATTTTCCTTTTTTAGGGATTAAGTTTCTTGCAATAAATGAATCACTTGTATGTTAAATCTTCAAAAACTCCAGTCATTATAATTCCAATGTTTTATTCATAAATAAGAGTGAGCTGCTGCCTCGATTTTGTGAAATCAGATTACCTATACAATTCGTGCGCTTTACTACACTATGTAAGGAAAACATTTATCCCGAAAAGATTGAGCGTTATCTAAAAGTAAAAACTGTTTGCTGTATTCTAGGTTGGGTTTGTCTAGATCTGTATGGTAGACACGATACAAGATCACCGCTAAAAATTCTGTGTGGTCACCCATCAGAGATCAAGCAGAAACTGACTCTTTTGTACTGTTTGTATAATTTTTAAAAATAATAATAAAACTTCCCATAGCGCTCATTGTTGTCCGTTGAATTATTCACTACTGATTTGAAATAGTATTATATTTACGGTTTTGTGTGATAAAAAATATAAAAATAACAGATACGACTTAATTGTTTTAATTGCATAATTATTGACCAGTTATAAATTACTTTGTTTCCGACTAACGAGTTTTAATAATTTAAAAACACCACATTAAAAGCAATTTTTTGCTATAATAACGTACTTATTAGGCTCCTTCAAGTTTAAGTATTTCACATTTTGCGTGAAGGCCAGGCTTCTGCGCTCAAAGTATTACAGAGATTCACTAGTGGAACACAAAAGTAATAATAATATTACAAATGACGACACTTCACAAAAAGAAGGAAAAAGTAATTTGTTTCGCAAGATTTCTAATGCACATGTAATTTATATTTGAACTATTATCACGCGTAATGCACTAAAAAATTAAAACATGGATATTATGACTGTGAACGTTGGATTATAATATGCCTGTACGAAAAATAACGACATTTTATCTCACTAATAATGATCTGCACATAATATATATATTATAACTTTAATCCTTGATGATTCTTTAATATATTAGATAATTTTATTTTTACAGTAGATTACATTTAAAAATACATTTATAAAAAAATATGTTTTTATGGCTTTTCTCACTAGTTTAGTTTATAAACTAAGCATGGTAACAATAATAGAACAATAGACTAAACTATACTTAAATGTCAACCCAAACTGGTTACAACGGCCAGTAATACTTTAAGTACAAGGGTATAAGCTTTAAACTGTCATCCATGTGAGTCTTGATTATTTTGTTTATTGTTTGCATGGCATTGCTGTATTTATTTAATTATTTTATTGAACAAGTAACAAATGAGGTTTAATATGTTTAACAACTCAACTGATGATGTGTTAAAGTAATTACATAATTTATTAAATATGAAAGATTAAGGATTACCAATTGTGGTTTATTTTCAATAGTAGACTCATAAAATATGACAAGTAGCGGTGGATTTCTGATTTAAGCTCAATTGATATAAGAATCCAGTATAGAAGCTAAAATGTAGTTTTGTTATCTGCGCAATACGGGTCAGTAAATCAAGTTTAGGAAAAATAATATAATTACTATTGAATTAAAAAAGATGAATATATTTTTGGACGTAATGAGTGACCTCGGTCGGTTTTACTAGCCTCTATAATATTGTAAGACGTAGGTATTGTTGAAAACCAATTAAATTTTTGAAATTTAGAAAAAAACATAAATTGGTATAAATTATAATAATTGGCTTGTATACAATGCTCAAATATTCTAAATTTTGTATTTTCAAATTATGTACTTATTTTTTAATTTGTTGCAAAAAAGATTTTGAATATGAAGTCTGATAAGATATTTAAATTTGAATCTCTTACCGATAAGATAAGACATTATCTTACTTTTGGCTCTCAGCCGCAGAGAGCAGATTTTTGTTCAATTGTAATATGCTGTTTAATCATTAAAAAAAAATTGTCGTTAAAGATAAGTTATACAATATGTTTATAAAGTTGCTATAAGAAAGAAAAAAAGAGTACTTATGTTTTCTTCTATGTTGACTAGTGCTTAAGTATTAACGAATTCAACAACTTCTTATACCGTTTTTTACATACATCAAATTGTATTAATTTTAAGTTATAGATATTTATCGATTATCATGTATTTTATTAGTCCAACTTTAAGAGGGGACAATCAATATTGATTTGCCAAAGAACCCAAAACTTCAAAGATTATCACCACTGGGCGTTGGTATAAGTGCTCTTTGTTAATCCTGTAGCTTTAATGTCCTCAGTTAATTCGATTACTCATACATTTTTTTCTTATTTAAATGCGTATCGGACAACGTCGTACGTTAAATGGGATAAACATGTCTTTGTTAAATGTATGACCACGTGTACCCCATCGTGCACTAGCAAATGCTATGTAAACCTGTTTTAGTGCACGACTCTTCTACATTATATCAGATATGGCTGTTTTACCAACAAGACATTGGGATACGTCCAAGACTCGACAAACACACCGAATCCGGTCCAGTTTAGCGTGTTTGAAACTCGGATGAAAATATAAATGCGCGACAGAAATTTCCACCTTACCTGATTGGTGGTCGTGACTTTTTTTTGCTGGACCTTTGTTGAGACTTGACGATCGACAATCGAGTAACACCTGCGTCCGGCCAAAGATTTGATAGCCACGGTCGACACCATTTTGGCCAAAAGCCTTAGGCCCGACGTTGTCTGTATCTTGTTTTTCAACCGGACTACCCAGTTGACTAATACTGCTGGCATGTGCTTTGGTCGAAACACACCGCACATACGCTTTTATACAATACCTAAAAACACAAAGACACAATAATATATGAATAACTGTTGAAATTATCAAATCCAACACGTAGAAAACCAAAAAGATCTACAGGGTTTAAGTGTACACGCGAAGGAAGACGACCAAAAACGATTTTGTAATACGATATTAATATATATATATATATATATATACATATTAGACATGGAAATAAAATCGGGAATTACGAATTTCAAATTCAATTTTTATATTGGTATTGGTTTTCTAATGATGTAATTTTTTTTTGTGTTCGTGATCAGGATTAATTTCTTTTCCTGTGGACCGATTTACTAGAGTAACAACTCTACAGAACTGAAATCATATGCGATTGGCATTAAGTCAAAGGTTGAAAGAGTCCTATTTAAAAAAGGGAAAACGGTAAAAAAAACTGTATGATTTTTAATTTAAAACTTTAAATCTATTATTTCAAGAAAAATGTTTGGATCGAGTTGAAATTTTTAAAAAATGTTTATTTGGTGTGTCCGTATACGTCAAAATTTTCAATTTAAAATTTTACCCATTTCCAAAGTATTTTATCACTTTCGGTTATAATAACTCCTGTAGACCGGTGATGTCCCAGTCCCCACTATGCCCCGACCCCACTGTACGGGCTTTTTTTATGTATTATTAATTTATTAAACCTATTTTTAGTATATATTTTTACGTCTTGCTGTACACTATACTGACATTTTTTAAATTTAAGTTAAACAATAAAACTACTGTTACACAAAACGTGTAAATACCTACATTAATAACATTTATTATTGTGTAACGTTAAAACTAATTCTAATAAGACTAAAAATAATATTTGTATTGTATTTAACTTATAAAGCCATAAATTCAACAAATCCGGATGTCTGAAATTCGGATATTCCCATCACTAACTATATGATTTAATGAAAACAATTCGTAAAATTTAAAACTGAAGTTGACGATAAAAATTAGTATTTAGTGAATATTTTTAATATCTGATATTTATTGAAAATTGAGTGAAGTTAATTTTGTCATTTAAACATTGAATGTTTTTTTTTTAGAATATACTAAGAGTAGGCTTATCCTGGAAAAAATATAAACAATACTATTTCAATTTTCAAACAAATCTGGAAATAGAATATGTTCTTGTTTATATATTTTTCTATGTTTAGCATTAGTTAATTGTTACCTAGTATTACCTAACTAAATTGTTAACCTATTGTTACCTAATACACAATTAAACGAAAATTATAAGTGACATTTAAGTGATTTATAAATTTCTAAATAACAAATAATTAACTTACAAATTACTACACAATAAAATGTAAATAGTTGGTAGTAACTCTCTCTACCTGGTCAACATTTTTATTTTTAAAAAATCGGTAAATCCTTAAAAAAATACATTTTTAGTTCCACATTGAGCTAAAATATTATCAATATTGTACAATTTTTAAAAATATAGATATAAATATGTGCAAGTATATTTTAATAGTATTGTTTAATTTACATGATAAATAAATAGAAAATTCTTTAAAAGAAATAAGGAAAGAATGTCCTGAAATTGAATTTTGCAGATAACATAGTGTTAATAGCATAAAGTGAAGAAGAGTTAAGTGTCATGTCATGTTATCGAAAATAAATAGTATCTTTGACGAATACAATATGAAGAATAATAAGAATAGAACCAAAATATTAATATTTAGTAAACAGCAGTTTAAACTCAAGAATAAACAATCGAAAATGAAAAATTGGTTACAGTGCAAGGTATTTATGTATATAAAAAAATGATGTTAATGTTCAATTTAAAAATTATTTTTACAAACATAAAATTTTTTTTTTTACAAAATACAAGTACATACAAATAAAGACTTGTAATTAAAGGTTATTTCAACAATTCATCACGATAATTGTTCTTACCCAAATTAGTATTATAATTTATAGGGTTTTTCAATTATTACACCATATAACATTATAAAACCAGATACTTAAAATGCCTTAGAAGTAGATGTAGCTGAAGATCATATTTTACAACAACAATTCAGTTTCAATGTTGACCTCTTATAGTATAAGACTAAAGAATATAATATATAACTTAGATGCTAGAGCTATGTTAGTTAGGTATGCCTAAAATAGAAATAAAATAATACTATTTTTGCATCGATGCTAAAAACAACTCATAAGACTAATTCAGTAAATACTGAAAATACATATATGTACATCAACTATACTTAAATTGTATTTATGGTGGATGCAAACGGCTATAATTTTCTAATTTGCATACACTATACAAGTTCACTCCAAACTAGACGTAAACAGCCATTGACTATAAAAGCATGTTCCTCATATAAAAACAGTAACTACGTTACAAAATCTAAGAAAATTCCCATTCAGATAATTAAAAGTTGTAAGGTATCACTAAGAGTAGGACGTAGGCGTAAAGGATACGAGAACTAGGACTTCGGTGAGAGAGTGTGCACAATGGACCTAAAGGTCTGAGTGCATGGGCACTTCTTAGGCCCACCCACTAACCAACTAAAACTAAAGGTATTGCTAATGAAAGACAATGTTCTAGTGCATAGAATAATATAATAGACTGTATATGAGACTTGAGCAAAAAAGTAGATGACCATTTACAGAATGTTCACATATTCAATGTTAATGAATTATTTGGATGTTAGTTCTTGAAGGTCATATAAAAATATACATACAAACAAATGTTAAAGAATAAGGAAACTTAAATTAATGATATATTTTGTTTAATATACATTAACAAGTAGTAAAACTAGGAAGAATTCAAATTAATAACATTTGAATACTTTTATAAATTATTACTGATAGGTTAACGGTATTAAAATAATTTTACCATAGTTTATCGGGTAAATGTTTTTTAATAACTTTTTTCTAAAACCTTTATAATTTCATTTCACTTGCAGTTTTAATAACATTTTTTATTTTATTTATTTCATGTTAGTAGTATACGTTTAATCTTACCTTATTAAATATAACATACAGGATGTAAAAACCAGAATCTTACAATTTTGTACTTTGGTAGGTGCACAATTATCGTACTTGGTAGTTAAAAAATATAAAACAGCTTTACGAGTGAAAAACATCATACAATTTATCTAATATTCAAATGTTGACGGTAGTTGTAACTTAAAATTGTCTATTCTCAACCACTTTACTCGCTGCAGCTGTTGTGATATTTTATGATACAAATTGTTATCTGATAATAAGAGATAACCGATAAGCTATGATAATAGCATAAAGTTTATAAAGCACTTATTTATAATCGTGATAACGTTAAACTTGCAGAGCTATTGCTGCCTGTTAGCCATAGGTAGAAACCTAACAGAGATGTTAGCAGTTTAATGTTGAAACTGTTGATTAAATAACAGATTGACATGGTTGTATATATGCAAATTCTATATAATATAAGGTAATCCCAAAAATGAAAGATAAATACAATATTACTAACGTTCTAGGTACAAACAAATTTTTCAATTAATGGACTAAACAGGGCAATGACTCGTTATACACTTAAGTAATACTAATTGAATGTTTATGAGTCATGGCATAAGTCATAGGTTATTACTAAAAACCAACTATATAGTGTTAAATCAGCAGTTTAGGTAGACATTACTCTGAACACGCGTCCAGAAATTAGAAAACAGAAATTATTTATAAAAATGTCCTACCATTCAGAGATATAATATATGAGTTATTATATTACCTTTAGGCTGGGACTCAGTTGGGTAAAGTTGATGCATATATTATAAAAGCAAATTTCGAACAGTTTTTTACTATTTTTTTGAAACGTTAAACAAAGTCACATCAACAAAAAAAGTTATTCGGTAAGGTGAATTAGATAATATATTGTTTATATTGTTGCATTACTTAAGCTATTTTTTTCGTCGAGGGATTGTGAATAATACAAATTTACATGCTGAAATTCAACGAGATAAGGTACCTACTCCTATGACTGACCGAGGTCCATGAAAAAACAATCTTGAAGAAGGCCTTGAAGATTTAATTAAGTACAATTTTCCCTACGCCTCCGTTAATTTTCATTTCTTGGTTTTCGATTAGGTGTATAAATAACCTTTGCATGTAATTTATTTATCTTGAATTTATTTTATAAAAATAATACTACACACTAACGTTTTTATAGTATACTTTGTGTTTGGTAAATCACTCTCCGAAGTACAATACCTAGTAATTTTAATTACTTGAAATAATTAAAACGCAATTAATGATTATTATGTCTATGACAGTAGTGCATTGCAATCCCACACGTAACTATGATTTTATAAAACAAATTATCAAGCTGGATAAAGTTACATTTTCAAAACGATAAATAATATAAATTACAATTTGTTAAGTTCCTTAATTACTTAAAATACATTTTTACTTTAAAATTTTCAAATCTTAAAACAAATATTGTTGTATTCATAATATTTTCCGCCAAACCACAAAAAAAAAAATGTTTGCAATTGCCAAGTGGGATATTCAAGTAAATATTTGTATGACTCAATAGACATTATTATTAAGGACAACTATAGCGGATTTAATTTAGCATTATGATTTCAGGTTTTGTATACCTATTTATTTTCATGAATAGGTTTAATAAAATAAAGCTTAAAGATTTGATGATTAAAGTGTTCACACGAAAGAAATTTATTGAGCGATTTTTTTCAAAAAAATAATAGTATTAAACTGAGCAACTCAAAACATCTCCAGCGAACTGGTTACTGGTTAGGTGTAGGTATCCACGGGAAATAGGTATTATTTACCAAAATTGCATAGAGTGAAATGTCATGGACACAAGGACACGCTTCGCATTAAGCCTTACATAATCATTCGTAGGTTCACATAATAAAACCTATGAATATAGTATTACATTATGTATTGTTTTTTTTTCATAAAGAAAATTATGTTAATCTATGTGAACGTGAATATTAAAATCCGGAAATGTAGAGAAAACAGTAGAGTAGAGTACAGTCGTTTTCAAGGTCCGTT